TTAGCAGACTTCCTACCAATGAGAAGAAATGACGAACACAGTGCCACCTGCATGACACATCAGTGATGTCTTGGGTGCTCATACTTTAAATATCATTAGTAATTAAGAACTTACATTCAAATATGTTTTTTAAAAAGAAACATGACTTTATCAGAAGGTAGAATCTTTAGAGGAACCAAGAGAGAATGCAGCTTTTGGTATTATTATCACAGTACCCAATCTCAGTCAACAAATTTAAATAATAAAATCAACCACAGGATTTTAGAGCTTGATATGATTTTAACAACTGCAGTGTAGCAGAATGGCACAACTCCATTTGCTAAATTGAGCTGAATCTGGTTGAAGATTTCACTTCTCAGTTAAAAGACTTTGCCATTGATTCAACTCACAGACCTATTTCAGCCCTAAATATAATTTTTTCCAGTTTCCATCTTGAAGGCATTTACATTTCTTTTAGGTGGTGAGTGGTGAGTGTCATTTGGAAGCAACTAATTAAACTCCAAAGGAGGCAGTCAATAGTTGCACCAGCTAAAAACATATAGCTAGGTAATTCCTTAAAAATGTGCCTCTTCTAACAAGCTTTTGTCAGAATTCGAAAACCCAAGGGAGGTGTAGTTTTAAATGCTTATAACCATTATCCACAGAAATACATATTATTTAAAGAATACATTCTAGGAACCCCTTCATGGAGAAGTAAACTTGAATTTCTTGAGAAACCTGGAAGGCTGAAAGAATTTAGTTTTTGAACATAAATAAAGAATACTCCTGCAGAACACGTGCCAGTGTTTCAGAAAGGACTCAGTTACACAGGGGGATCAATGCATTGTGATTTTCAAAGAAAGGCTAAAATGAAAAGTAAGGCGTAATTACATGGCAAAGGAAGTTTCACTTCTAAATACCTCTAAGTATAATCAGTTGTTATAGAAGAGGAAAAAGAATACTGGAGGTGTGAATGATACTCCTTAGGTTGGCGCCTCCCATGCGAAGTTTCTAAGAGGACTGCACTGCACGGGAGCAGCCATACTGTGCGGCTGCCAAGGTCCCGGAATCCACACTGAGACTAAACAGACTCACATGGCAGCTCTGCCACGTACTACCCAGTAACCTCACCTTTCTGTACCTCCGTTTCCTCAGCTAAAACATGGAAATATGGGCAGGACCAACCAGTCAAAGGGATGTTGTGTGAATTAAATGAGTTAATACATGTACAGCATTTAGAACGGTGCTTGGAACGTAGGAAACAATAAGTACCTTTCCTATTTTTCTTTGATTCTTCCCCTCCTCCTCCTTCCTCTCCTCCTCCTCTTACCTCCTTCTTCTTACCTGCCTTTCACATGAATAAGGAGCAGAAATGCTACTTAATTAGACATATATATTACTTGCAACTTAATACCATAAACACGCAAGTAGGAACATTTCAGTTAGAGACAAAATACTATCTGTATATTGGTTCCTCTGAGTTTTTATATTCAGCCATTTATAATGGCTAATCAGTGCTAACTTACTAATGGGACCTGCATTCATTAGGAATCATTCTCTTTGTCTAGATATTTTTTCAGTCTCTTAGATTAGGTCCAGGAAGAGCCTCTGCATATTTCCAGTTAGTGGTTTGATTGGAGACGTTTTATTAGTCTTCGGCATTGAGTGAAAATTCTCAGTTCTCTAAGATTCACTCAATGCTGAAGACTAATAAAACGTCTCCAATCAAACAACTAACTGGAAATATGCAGAGGCTCTTCCTACAACTGATCTAATTGTAGCAGGAAACACAGTGCACAAGTGACGATTTATCAGGAGTGATTTTTGCAGACTGGAACTCAGTCTGGGTCCCGTGAATGAGAAGCCCTGTTGTGTGCCTCTGGTGTCCAGCTGCTCAGAAGTATTTTATGTTTTCATATCAAAGATGAAGGGAAATCTCCTGGAAAGTGAATTTATAATCAGGTCAGCTGTGGATACCACTGAGAAAATCAACTACTTTAACTCACAGAAATATTCCAGGAAGACTCAGAGCCAAGGTAATCCAATATCTAAAGAAGATGATGTACGTATGTAAAGGGCAGAATATAGCTACACATTGAGTACTTTGATAAATGTCACTCTCTTTTCTAGAAAAGTACAGACCTCTAAATTAAAGTGGTTTTAAGAACATCCAATTGAATCACAAAAGAAAATGTGCTGAATTTCTCTGCAATACACAGCAATTTATACAAATGTCTTAGCTTGCATTTAAAAAAATTCTCAATAAATGTGAAAAAGCATTTAAATTAGGCATCCTTTTCCATTATTACCTCAATCTCAAAAAAAGAAAAAAATGTTAAGCTGGAGGAGAAGAATGACTCTGAATTCTGTTTTCAACATGTTTAATTAACTAATGAAGTTGGATTTAAATTGGCAATCCTTCCTACATCTCCATATTCCATAAAATAAAAAGCTGTGGTAGCATGCTAACTTAATAAAGTTGCTATAAAAAGGAATGTGCAATCTCAAGTACTCTTTGAAAGGAACGTTTATCTTAGCACTGGTCAAGTTGGTCTGCTCTAACTGCACTTTTAGGAAAAGTGCTTCATAAGCAAACCTAGCCATGAAGAGAGTATAGACATACTAAGTCTTACTGTGATATTTTGGAACTCTGATGGGTACCTGATGCATGTTTGTGCTCAGTAGCTCAGTCATGTCTGACATTTTGCAACCCCATGGACTGTAGCCTGCCAGGCTTCTCTGTCCTTGGAATTTTCCAGGCAAGAATATTGGAGTGGGTTGCCATTTCTTACTCCAGGGGATCTTCCTGTTTCAGGGATTGAACCCTCATCTCTGGAGTCTCTCTGCACTGGCCAAGTGTATTCTTTACCACTGCACTACCTGATGCGTATCAGTGATCTAATATCATCTGAAAATCCAATAGTCAATTTTTCTAGTATGACGAAAAAAGAAAAGAAGCCCTCCATTTCAATCTTGGAATTTACTTAACTTGATTTCTCAGTGTCATAAGATAGTTTTAATGCACTGCATTTAAAAAAAAAATCAAAGTTTTACGATTCCTTGCTGCATTAAACAAAACTAAGGATTTTCCTTGGGATAACTGGTAACATTCTAGAAAACTATTTCCTAAAGTGTATTCCACAAAACATTAAGTCAGTGAAAGCTATTTGTAAAAAAATTTTAAGACCAAATAGTGGAGAAATGCCAGATGCTAAATCTTTATCACCATCTTGGAGTTTCTTTAGAATCTATGCTTTCTGAAAGCCAGGAATTTGTCTAAACCATTTTTACTACCATAGCTGCAAGCATATACAATCCCTTGCAATTAGCAGGCACTTGGCAGGAATAAGTAAATGAATGAATGAACGATAAAAGCTTTAAACAGTTTTCCATAAAATAAATTTCTTACATTTTCTTTCAACCAGAATATCTCATAGCTATTTGATAATGGGAATCTTTTGTTTTTTCCGTTGTTGTTGGTTAGTTGTTAAGTCATGTCTGACTCTTGTGACCCCATGGACTGTAGCCCACCAGGCTCCTCTGTCCATGAGATTTCCTAGGCAAGAATACTGAAGTGGGTTGCCATTTCCTTCTCCAGTTTTTTCCTGTTAGCATTATAGAATATTTTAGTCATATTAAAGAAAAAAGAATAGAGAACAATATAGCAACACATATAACTACTACCTGTATTAATAATTAAATATAGAAAATACAACAGAAGCTTCTGGGGACCCCTCCTCCATTCCATTTATTTCTTTTTAACATCCTCCATCCAAAGGAGGTAACCACAACATTAGGACTTAGATTCACTAACAACCTCCTCTGAGAAATTTTGAATGGGGTAATTGCTAAAGTCCCTTCAACACTAAGATTTTATTTCTAGCTAGTGTATACGTGGCAAATGGCCACTTGTGAAGCTATCCACGTATTGCATTAATATAACAATAAATAAGAAATAAATGAAATAAAACATTGTGATACAGAAGCAAGACAATGGAAAACTGATGTGATAATGATATATATGAAGAGGCTAAGCAGCTTTTCTTTTAAGTGGGCTGATCTAAATATATAGATACAGATATACAGTAACCTAAGAAAAAACAGAAATATTTGTTTCTTGACTTAGACTGAGTAATTTAGAAACTATTCTCTACAAATACAGAGAGAAACATACCTAACACCATATATGTTGGATTCTGACTTACTCAGGTTATCACCTGGGGCTGCAAAAGTGAGACTGTGTCGAGATCAATAATACAGTGAGCCCATATTTACATAAAAGATGCTGCTAAGAGGAAACCCCCGTCCTGAACTGAATAAACAGTTACTAAAACAGTTACATCTCTTTCATGAAATCCAGCATTCTATGATAGAGTTGCACATATGACCTAATATAATTTAAAAGGAAAAGAACTATTTTAAAATTTTGGTCAATATCTTTTACAGATTTGTTTTGGTAAAGCCTTTCTTCCTCAAATTTTCAAGTACTATTACATACATTCCTAAATTGTCTTAGAGAAACTCTAGTTATCGACTTATTAACTATTCTTCCTCAGGTTTCTTTTTATCCTTTTCTTTGCATAAAAGATAAAAACGCCTAGTAAAAGTATATTTCCATATTGCTCTATTTCTTAATTTTAATTCTAAATGATGTTGAATAGTCAATGTAGAGAAAAACAGGGTAGAACCCAATACCTGTAGATAACCACATATGCAGCCAATAAACCAAGGACTATAGCAACAAGAAACAGCAAGCGATGTGGATAAATTTTCACCTTACAATTGGTCAGTGGCATCCTGAAATTTTATAGGCAAACACTGAGATTAGAATTTCACTCTGCTATTGAAACAATTTGACTTTTCAAGTCAACCATTGAATTCTTCCTGGGTTAAATACCATCAGGGAGTAAAATATGACCTCATTCTACATTTAGAAGCCCACAAGTCCTTTCTCATGCTTAAATGAATGAAATAGATTAGTATCTAAAAAATATTTATAAAAGAAAAATGTCAGTTCCTACCTCCATTATCTTTTAGATGTAGAGCTATCTTGGTATCATCTGGAAGAGAAAGTCAAAGTTACAACAGAAAAAAATTTAAGGTGCATAAATCAATTGTCTGCTAATGCATTAACTGTTTAACAGGAATGGATTTTGAATCTTTACTGAGTAAATTTCTAGGTCAATGAGAGTTAGTCTTACCTTATAGGATGCAGTACTAAACTTCCTGAGATTGTAAGATCAAGACTGTAAAACTTTAGTAAAGTTTTATATGACTCTTAAGAGCTATGAGAAAAGTACACTGTTATAACTTTGATTTAAAATACATTTATTTTAATTTTCTAAAATGATTTACTGTAGTTAGACTCTAGAGTTCTTATTTATTTTAAAAACCAAAATCAAGGAAATTCCAAGTTAATTGGAATAGTAAATATTTGTCAGTATTTACAAACTTAACTTCAAAAGTTAAATGCTTATTCATTGCTAACAAATATGACCAAAATAATATACAAAAAGATCTTGCCCTATGAGAATGAAATGTAGAATGTGCTTTTGATTTCAGTTGTATATTTCATTCTAAAGGGGAGGATTTGAATTACAGAAATATTTTTCTCAGGCTACATAACAACCCCTAAATAAGATGGATTAAAATATAATGTTGGTTTTAAAAGCAATAAAATGTACTCAGCAGCTATCCTTCACCTCATTTTATCAGTTTATTCCAGTTAACTTTAAATATCCAATTAAATTTCAATTAAGAGCAAAAGATTCAAGTTTAATATCTTATTCAAATTAAAGCAAGGCTTATGAAAATAAATAAGACCATGTTTTCCCCTCAAGGCTTACTCTTGGCTAACTGGTCTCACATTTCTCCCTAGTGGCACCATTCAGAATAAATGACTAACAAATTTAGGGTAATATACCATCTTTCCCCAATGAGCTGTGTGCATGCATTCATGCTGTCTAGTATTTTTGCCTTTCCTGGCAAAGGAAATGCTTCTCTAGTACAATTTCTGTGTCATACACAGTGCTTCTCTATAAGGTTATAGGCCAGCATATTTCACTGACTATATCCAGGCAAATATAAGAATTGTGTATTAGTAGAATTACCTATTATTCAGAATACAAAATCAATGGACATTTTCTATGCATTTTGCCTTCCTATCCTGTGATTAAAATGTTAAACACAGTTATTACAAAGTTCAGCAAGAAAGGAAGGAAGGAAAGGACATGAGAGGAAGTTCTTTCTCTTTTCTAGGGGCTCTAGTAGCCAAGATCACCATTAAAGACTAAATCTTAATAAAAGGCATACATACATTAAAAAAAAAACAGCACATCGTTTTACTCCATCATAATTTTGTGTTTTCCCTTGTAGACATTCCTAAGAAATCTAGTTTGCTGAAGAGAAAATTTCCCCCTGGAGAACCTCTCCTGTACATGTCAACAGTGAATTCCCTCCTTCAGTAACAGAGAAGAAGTGTCTGCAGGGCACCTTCTGTGGGCAGGCTGGTGGGCAGCTGGGAGGTGGCTGCTCTTCTGGTGGTCGTCAAGACCCTGAATTGTGTGGTTGTTGCGCGTATGGTGGTGCTGGTTCGGGTAGAACTTTCCACTGGATCTGTGGGGTCACACATCTTCTCTTTTGACTAATAAGAGAAACAGGGGAAGACAATGGAGGAGTGATCAGAGCTGCATTTTAAAATTATATCAAGAAGAAAAATAATAGAAGAAACAAAAGAAATAAAAGAAGTTGGGCTGTAAAGCACAAAGGCTTCTCAAATCAAGACGAGGAATACTTTTTGTACAGGACTATAGTTATAGATTTTACTGACTTTATATATACACATATATATATATGTATATATATAAAATTGGATGTTAGAAAGCATTTCCATGTTTAGATATTTGGATTCCATCATTTCTGTGGTTAACTTTTCATATTACTGTTCTTCTTAACCTAAACTTTATATCAATATATTTTTAAAAGACATGATGGGAAACACTCAAATTAGAAGAAAAATGTACATGAACAGAAGGTTTAAGACATGGTTAAGTGTGTGAAGGAAGAATGTATTCCATTCACATCAAATTGTTAATGCTAAATTTGAAAAATGTAACTGCTCTATAATACTTCATTTCCTCAAAAATAATTTACCACAGGTTAAATGGATATTTGAGATTAAAATTTTGCTTTCCTTTATGAAATATTCAAAGTCACCCATGCAAAAGATTGAACAGCACTCAGGTAATCACTTAGAATATTTTCTACCTAGCAGAGTTACACTAGGACAAGGTGCATATCGTATTTTTCAGTTATAGCCCACAAGAATAAACAATATGACATTTACCAATAACAATTTCCAACATGCAAACTTTTATGGTTTAGGAGTTGCTATTTCTCCCTACCTCTTTGCGCTTCAAAGGACTTCATCCCTCTGTTGGGCCTTGACTATTAATAGAAGATAACTATGTACCTATGGATGGTATTTATTCCACAACTGAAAAGTATTATTAAATAAATACCGCTTTAAAGTTCTCTTGTCATTAGTAACATGCGGTGCGCTGTATTGCTGTTTCAGGAAGAACATCCAACATGGTTTCCTGGTCACTAATTAGATATGATCCAGCTTACTCGCTCCAACATCCTAGCAGCCCATTCAACCCCACAGACTTTAGTCCCTGCATCTCAGCCTCAGTAATCTCATGATTTCCTTCTTGACTACACTGGAGTTATCATCCCCACACCCTGGACCTTCTCTGCAGCTGGGGATGCTTTAGTCCTGAAATCACACATTCAGTTATCCTTTTTTCCATCTATTCATGTAGCTGTTCACTCACATTCTTCTTATCCTGCGCTTCTGTAGAAAACCCAAGCACAGTGATGCGCTCCCTTTAGTCTTGTTTTTTCCATCAGTTCAACCTCGCTTTTCAATATCTTTAAGCATCTTGCCCTGTTTTTCATTTTGTTTACCACATCACCTTCTTAGAAAATCGGCAATACCGAATACACTAAAAACTCTGCCTTTCCTTGCCTGCACCAAAGCTGAGAGAGAAAGAAAGAGCGAGCTGGAGAACAAGCACACAGCCTCCCACTGGGAGCTCCACAACCTCACCTCCAGCATCCCCAGCAAGGGCTTCTATGCTGCCTGGCAATACTGCCCAGCTTGGCTGACCTCCTCTTTCATTATCCTCAGCATCAATTTCAAACCCTCTCCACTCTACTTAGAACTGCCATTCCATAATGTGTCTCCCAATTTTACATTGGCCTCACTTTTTATATCTTTGATAAGCGAGTCATCAGCAAGAATTTTTAAAATTTATTTACAGATCAGCATTCCTACTTTAATCTGTACTGACCTGTCCTTCTTCCTCCCATTGGGATGGACAGGTCCACTGTTAACAGCTGCTCCCTCAGTGTCTGCCCTGGCCTAGCCCAGGCTACGTTCTCAGGTATTGTGAACCTGCTCATCTGACCCCCTCCTTTCTCTTCAGTATTCAATCTTAATTCTCTCCTGCCTTGTTATCATCAGCACTTAACCATACTCAAGCACATCCCAGCTTATTTTAAAAACTCCATCTTCCCTCTTCTCCACATGCATCCTGGGATCATCCTGTTTTTCCTTCCATTCACAGTCGGAATTCAAGAGAGATGGACCATCCTTGGGCTTCACAGATGCCCACAAGTTTGTTTTGGTCCAGCACAATTTAACTGAAACTTCTTATACTAATGCTTCTAAATACCTCCTTATTTACCACACCTTCCATATACACTCAGTATTCACTAGCATTTGGCACTGTCTGCCCATTTTCTAACCTTAGAGTCTGGGACACACCCTCATCAATTTGCTGACACCTGTCTCACAACTGTTTCTCCCTTTCTTTCTTTGCTTTAAGCGTTGGTAATTCTTACAGATCTGTCCTGAACTATCTTTTCTCTATAGGCATGGTCACTAACAATCTCCTCCATACCTATGATTCAATTAACAACTTTATGTTAATTATGCATAAATGTCTATCTCCAGTCCACATTTTTCTCTTGGATTTTAGGCCCAAATATTCATCTATTGACTTATATGCAGGTGGATGTCACAGACATCTCAAGCTCAGTAAGTCTAAGATGGAATTTGTCACACATTATTCTTCTCCTGTGGTTCTATTTGCGTGCGCGCATGCACGCGCGCGCGCGCGCACACACACACACACACACACACACCCCTGTATAACAGTATTCTTAATTACTCTAATGGTTAAGCTGAAGTCCTAACCTTGTTTTGCTCATGGCAGTAAAGGCAGACTACAGATCCTGACTGGTCCTCCTGCCATAATACAAGTGGATTCTGGATAAAACAAGAATTTTGAAGCATTACGAGGATTTTCAAGAAGTAGAGAAAATCTCTGAAGGGGCCTTTCTTTTGTCTCCACCACCAAAACAAAATAAAGCAAAACCTGTGTGCTATAAAGACAGCAGGAGCAATATACATTAGGTAAAGTAAAAGTGCAGGGTTTGCTCTAAGGTAAAAATGTCAGAAACTAATTATGCTCTAAGGAGATCAGTTTGGTACCAGCAGTAGATGGGGGAGATTAATCCAAACTTCTCCTCCCCATAGTAATGCAGGAACAGATGGCACCCCCTGAAGCACTCAGGTTTCCATCATCAAAACCTCTTTAGTGGAAAACATCATCTACCTACATCCTAGAAATTCCCATGGAATAAGATCAAACAAACGCACCGCTAATTAAAGGACACAAAAAGAAACACAAAGAGAAAAAGAGTAGTCTGACAAAGACCCAGCAAAAACAAAAACAACATAATTAGACTAGTAAAAACTTTTCGATCCCAAATTGGGATCATCCAGTGTGAAACATATAAAAATTATACACGAAATATATAAATAAATAAAGAGGAAAATTTAAAAATAAACTAGTAAACAGGCTATAAAAATGACATGGCAGATTGAACAAAGATTGACACTAAAAAATGAAAAACACCATTGTTGAAATTACTACCTCAATGGATAGGTTAAATAGCAGATTGAACAAGAGGAAGAGATAATTAATAAACTGGCTAATAGATCTGAAAAAAACCCCTGGGATACAGTACAGAGAAATAAGAAAATAGATGATATTAAAGAGAGGTTATGCAAGGAAGTGATGAGCAGGTCCAGCCTACCTCCAAAGAGCTCAGAAGGTGAAGATGAAGAGAATGGAGAGAGTCTGATTGCATTTATCACGTGCCCGGAATTTTTATCATAATCTTCTCTGCTGTAAATATCTTTGTCACATGCACTTTTGCTGAAAATACTCTTGCCACATAACTAATTGGCTGTAAGGCAATTTTGCTGTAAAAGATAAAATATCTGGCTGGTGGTTTGGTTGGATATACACAGAATAGAAATCATGACAGATGATGATTTGCCCAAGAGTTGGTTTCTTCTTCTGAAACACAAGACACAGCAGGAAAGAGGCCAAGGACCTTGAAGGCATAGAGGTGAATCTGCATTTCCCATAAAACTTTGTAACATCTATCGATGGCCATGTGACAAAATGCTAAGAACAAACAGCAGTGCAGAGGCTTTTATGACACAATAGAAAGCTCAGTTACAAACAAGCATCCTAGCATTTGAAATTGATACCTCTCTTCAAGAAGGAAGAAATTTTACTGAAAATAACATTGGGATGTTGAACAAGCAGACAAATTAGTAGCAAAGAAATGTGTAATACTATGAACAAAAGACTTGGAAGGCAAGTGCTTAGGTTCAACCCATAGAATAAAGTCACTTACTTGCACAGTATTGTCCTGAGTCTCCACATACATTAAATGCATTCAGATACTTTGTATTTCTCAATAAAATCTTTTTAATTTTGTTATTCATTTTCATGTTTAATTATATCCTTTCTAATGTCTCTCTTTTATATTTCCTTATTGTATCTTTTATGGCAAAATTATGACCTCATGGCCATTTACTTGGCAAGAATGTTTGTGGCAAAGATGTTTATGGAAAATAAGCTTATGGTGAAAAAATCTAGAATCCATTTATCCAACTTAATAACCAATCAGTTAGAAAATATACATCCTTCTTGAGCACATGTAGATCTTTGTTACAAATGACTCATTCACTATTCCATTAAAAGCTCCAACTAATTTTAAAGAATCAGTGTCATATAGAATGTGCTCTCTGGCAATTCAGTTAGGTAAGAAGTCAATAATGAAAAGATGAAATTTAAAATTTCCATAATTTGGAAATGCAGTATAATTTCATAGTTCAATGTAACCTCAGTAAAAACGAGGGCCTTCCCTGGTGGCTCAGTGGTAAAGAATCTACCTGCTAAGCAGGAGATGTGGATTCAATCCCTGGGTTGGGAAGATCCCCTGGAGAAGGAGATGACAACCCACTCCACTACTCTTGCCTGGGACACCCCATGGACAGAGGAGCCTGGTGAGTTATAGTCCATGGGGTCACAAAGAGTTGGACACAACTGAGCAACAGACTTTCAGTAAAAATACTGATAAGATTGATTACAGATATTGCAAGTTGATTTTAAAATTTATATGAGGAAAAAAAGTTCAAAAGTTGTCAAAACACCTGAGAAGATGCAAAAGCAAAGTTTGTTCTATAGCTAATGATATTTCTTATAAAACTATAGTAATTAAGACAGGGTAATATACAATGTATTAATTCTTCCAAAAAGTTGTTTGGATCATATCATCCCCTTAATTAAAACCCTCCAGATAGCTTTCTCCTGCCTTTAACATGAGGCTCAAACTCCTTCAATGTTACATACTGGGCCCTGTCCACCTCACCAGTGTTACCTCTCACCACCCTTCTTATCTTCAGTTACCCCTCAGAAGTCACTAAATATCACCTCCTCAAATGAACGCTCCCTTATCCTACTGGACAAGACCATGCCCTTAGGTTTTTCCTCTTTGCCAGTGTCATTCTCTAAGTGTGGTTCTTTGTTCAGTATGTGTTTCCCCTGCTACACATATTTCTCACACTTACATTAGCAGGACTTAGAACATTAAATAGTAAGTTCTCATATTAGGATCTGCACTTATTGAATAAATTCATCTCACAAGATCAGAAGGAAAATTTAACCCTAGTTTTAGGCACAGAAAATAGACTGGATTTGGTGACCCTGTTTACTTACCTGTAACAGAAGTCTATAATTGCTCAGAATAGAGCTAGTAATTTGACAATTTAGTTATGGAATAAAAAGGAAACATTGGATATTATAGAATGTGCTAGAGTCTGAGCTTCTTGGGAAGAGGGAATAATTAAAAAAACATTAGTGCTTAGCACAGACCATGGGACATGGTGAATTCCCCACACATATATTTAGGAGGGCTTAGAATGTGGTGGATTCTTTTCAATAGCTTATGTTTCATGCTGCGCACACACTGAAGCAAGAAAATTACAATGTCTCAATTACACTTTTGATATTCAATTTCAACATTTTTAATTGAGGTAACTGTGATTACCTGAAAGAAACATCAACCTGAAAACACAACTATGACTCTCATTAATATATTTTATTTTTCAAGTATCATTGTTAAATAAGTGAAATGAAATACTGTTGATAAATCAGTATACATTATTGTAATTCACCATCCCCCCAACCAGGTGTCAAAAAGTCGATTAAAGCTACTGTGGCAGTAAGTTCAAGAATATCCTGAAAAATGCATTTCTCAAGATATTTATGAGACATCATAAATAAAAACTTAATTAAAAAAGGCTTTAGTAACTGGGATTCCCTAATAGTTTTAAAAACAGCTCTTTGACATGATATGCTTCACTGAGTGAAAAAACTTGTAAAACTAATGGTTTTTGTAAGAAATATATACCTAAAACTTAACAAAGGGAGAAAGAACAAATACTACTTTTCTCTGTGAACTTTATGGGATATTTTTATGTGACTCTGAATTCATAGTGCAAATGCAATTCACTAAAAAACTTTTAAACACGTTAGAATCGCTTCTGCAATTTTTTTTACTTGCTTGGATCACTTCTTTGCATCACTGTATCCATGATGTTTGCCTGAGACTTACTGTTTCCACGTTAGACCACATCTACCTTTTTCTATTATGCTGATTTGCTGTAATCAATCTCTTCCTCCATACCACTGGTTTCATTATTTGAGTGAAAAAGATGAAAAAAAAAATCTCAAAAAAGCAGCAAATATTTGAGAGCTGCCCTTTGATCAAAGAGATTTAAATCCTGGTTCTACAATTCCTGAGTCACATATCTAGCTCCAGATTCTTTCTCTTCACCCCTACCCCAACATCACCCTTCATCCTTTCCTCGTCCCTTCTTGGTACCACAGAGGCAGTAACAGCTCTGATCTCATAGGATAGGTATGAGAGTAAATTGAGATAATATATGTAGAGTTAAACCCAACATCTGGTACATATAAGGGCTCAATGACTGCTGGCTCTTTTTATTAAATTAGACCCCATTTTCATTAAGTTGCAGCAATGATATATGACAGCTTGGTCTTAGCAATCTTGTCATAATAAAGCACACCTGTACCTCTTCAGGGCATCCACTGTCCACCCAGTCCTGCCGATGGCGATCAAATCCACTGGAACATCTTCAGAGACAGCCATGTTGTAGATCAGAAAAGAAAGTATGGGGTACAGAGTGGAGGTAGAAATTAAAAGAGAAACACTGGTAAGTAGTTAATTTTCAAATGTGCACAACATAAACTTTCTTCTACAGAACTGTTAGCTGGAGCAGTAGATGAGCATTTACAGAGTTCTGTGTAACCACCCACACACACCTTAGGTAATGATGCCATTGTTTGCACGAGATGACAGGTCACTCTACTGAGGCTCACACACAATACGGAGATCCTCACACAAAGGCGAGACAGTAGCCTTTCTATGGAGCTGGTTTTCCTTTTCCTCATACGTATAAATTTTTCATCATTACAACAAACATATACAAAAATTTTTGCAGGCATTTTTCAGGATTTCAGATCTTGTTGTTTATTTTACTTACATTTTAAAACTTAAGATCCACAGTCACAAAAACTCTTTCCCTATTGTACAGTAAAAGGTTAGTAAGTCAGGTTTGAGATGTTCAAACCTACACATTCCAAAGAAAGAACTGGCTCTTGTCCAGGTCCTGGGAGATCATGTCTAAGGCCTTGGAATATCCTGCCTGATAAAAGCGTCTTTGTATATCTTGGGTCTTGGGCTATGTGAGATAGTTCACACCAACAAAATGATTTATATTGCATGTCTGTTTTTATTTGCTTGGAGCCCTGGGCCATGCTGCATCAGTTTGACCCTTGAGGGGCTGGAGAATAGAGATAAAGTTAGTCATGGAAAATTTCATATCTATGTTATGGCCCTCAGTAAAAACCCTGGACACCAAGACTTGGATGAGTTTCCTTGGTTGGCAATACTTGGTGTGTGTGTTCACAAACAGTTGCTGGAAGAATTAAGTGTGGACTCCACTGAGGGAGAAAGACTGGAAGCCGTGCCTTGTCACTCTTGGATTCCCCCATGTTCCTTCCCTTTGCTGATTTTAATGTGTCCTTTAGTTGTAATAAACAGCAACTTGGAGCACACCTTTTTCTCCTTTCTGTCAGTTATTTTAGTGAATCAGTGAAGCTGAGTGTGTTCTTGTGGATTCCTGCCTACATAATTCCTATGAATAAGTCACGTCTAAAAGGTCGGATTTACAAGGGACTCTACTTAGTGTTCTGTGGTGACCGAAATGGGAAGGAAATCCAAAGAAGCTGATTCACTTTGCCGTAGAGCAGAAACTAACAGATCATTGTAAAGAAACTACTCCAATAAAAGTTAAGTAAAATAATAAAAATAAAAGGTCAAATTAAGCAAGCACTGGGCTGATGAGATTTTGCTCACTCCCACTTTCTTTCTTTCTTCTTCTTTTTTTAAAGTTTTTGACTGGGCTCTGTGGATGTGGGATCTTAGTTCTCCAACCAGGGACTGAACTCACAACCTTTGCATTGGAAGCATGGAATCTTAACCCCTGGACCACAGGGAAGTCCTCCACTCTCTTTCTTGATTAAAATAATTTCTGCCCTCCCTACAGAAAATGCAACTACAGTTCATTCACTTTACAAGACTCAGAAATTACTACCCAGAGCCGATTCTGATAAAGTTTCATCACTGGTGTGATCACATATTACTTTACTATTTAACTTTTCTCATTTATATAAAATTTCAGCCTCATGTCTTATTTGGGCTTCCCTTGTGGCTCAGCTGGTAAAGAATCTGCTTGTAATGAGGGAGACCTGGGTTCAATCCCTGGGTTGGGAAGATCCCCTGGAGAAGGGAAAGGCTACCCACTCCAGTATTCTGGCCTGGAGAATTCCATGGACTATACAGTTCACGGGGCCACAAAGAGTCAGACACACTTATTTACCAAACTTGATTGTGAATACTTTAAAGTTAGGACAAGCAGTATATTTGAGCATTCCTAGTATATCTGACATGTGAATTTTTTTTTTTCATGTATTTACCTATGAAAAGTAAAGTGTCTGCTGTCACCTTGTTTTACCTATATGCTCAGCACACCATAAGAAATGCAGTGCTAGATGGGTTATAAGCTGGAATCAAGATAGGTGGGAGAAACATCTACAAACTCAGATAATGCAGATGATACCCCTCTAATGGCAGAAAGCAAAGAGGAACTAAAGAGCCTTTTGATGAGGATGAAGGAGGAGAGTGAAAGAGCCAGCTTAAAACTAAATATTAAAAAAATAAGATCATGGCATGCAGACCCATTACTTCATGGCAAATAGAAGGGGGAAAGGTGGACGTAGTGACGGATTTCCTCTTCTTGGGCTCTGAAATCACTGTGGGTGGTGACTGCAGCCATGAAATCAGAAGATGACTATTTCTTGGCAGGAAAGCTATGACAAACCTAGACAGTGTATTGAAAAGCAAAGATATTACTCTGCTGATCAAGGTCCACATAGTCAAGGCTATGGTCTTTCCAGGGGTCACATACCGTTGTGAGAGCTGAACCACAAAGAAGGCAGAGCACCAAAGAATTGATGCCTTCGAACTGTGGTGCTAGAGAAGACTCCTGAAAGTCCCTTGGATAGCATGGAGATCAAACCAGTCAATCTTAAGGGAAATCAACCCTGAATACTCGTTGGAAGGAATGATGCTGAAGCTCCAGTATTTTGGTTATCTGATGAGAACAAAGATTGAGGGCAGAAGGAGAAGAGGCTGTCAGAGAATGAGATGGCTGGATGGCATCACCGATGCAATGGACGTGAACTTCGATGTAATGGACATGAACTTCAGAAGATAGTGAGGGACAGAGAGGTCTGGCATGCTGTAGTCCATGGCGTTGCAGAGTCAGATACAACTGGGTGACTGAACAACAACAAGTATATCTGACACATGATTTATTTTTCATATATTTTTGAGTCTTATTTTTCATATATTTTTGAGTCTATGAAAAGTAAGGATTTACAATGATCCTGAATTTTAATATATAAACATTTATACTTATACATTATAAATATAAATCCATATTAATAATCTAAATAGATATTTATGTATTTTTCAAAATAAATGGAGGCTTTTTGTCTTATATCCTTACAGGCTGTTCAATTTTAGTCTCATGTTTTCTTACACTGTTACTTCACAACTTCTTTTTTCCCTTGTTTTGCAATGAGTCCACATGATTTTTTTCTAAGAATCCTTGCCAGAGATCATGTACCATAGCATGAATGAGCACAATTTAATTCAAGTGGAATGTGAAAACAGCTCGACTGTCAACAGAAAAGATCATATCTATCATTCTGCCTGGACATGATCCATTAGAGCTCCCTGGACATGATCCATTAGAGCTCAGCTATTTTATACCTACCATCTGTGCTGAACAAGCTCAAGTGTGGAATAAACATCAGTGTGTGATCTAGCATCCTGAGTTGAGAATCCCCAGTTGGTCAAGGCCATCTCTGGTTACCCAAAGAGATTCTGACATTTAGAGTCTAATTCCAGATGAATCAGATGGTTGTTGCCTCTTCTTTTTCTCCCCTTCAAAGTTTGCTTAAATATTGAAAAGTATACTGACATTCTCTTTTGCAAGATGGGAATCTATCAATTTTCTACAAAGAACATATTTTGGGAATCATCTGACAAGTAATTAAATGCAACAGATAATTTTTAAATGCAGTTTGTCTTTACTTATTCCATTCTAGACATACTCAAAGCCAGTGGGAAATAATAACTTTTACCTTATACTGTAATAAGACAGTACCAAATCTTAAATTTATGAGTCAATTTTATCTTAAGTAATTGGTCCCTTAAATTATTATATTAATCCCAGGGAAAAGTACAGAAACACTGAAGTTTGCCTGAGTTATTAAATACTCTCTCAATTATTGTGTGTGAAATTAGGTTCTACTGAAAATATGTAATTCAATTAAGTAATTCATTCATTTATTTATTCACAATTGATTACCCATTAGTCGATCCACAGCTTACTAACTGCCAGGGTGGGAAGGATCGACAATGGAAAAACACAAATAAAGTTTGGTTTGAAAAATTCATACATTTTTGTACCTTATGATGCCTTTAAAAATTAACAAAACAGGACTTTGCCTTTTCATAATTTTATTTTAAAACCTAGTAATTTAAACAGCATCAAAAACCAATTATAAACAAGAAGATGTGTCTGTGTGTGTCTCTGTGTGTGTGTTGTACCAATCATTAAGAAAAGCTACCTTTCTATTATTTCAAAATTCTAAATAATGACCCTGATTCTGGGAAAGATTGAAGGTAGGAGGAGAAGGGGCGATGATGATGAGATGATGGGATGGTTGGATGGCATCATCCACTCAATGGACATGAGTTTAAGCAAACCCCGGGAGATGGTGAAGGACAGGAAAGCCTGGTGTGCTGTAGTCCATGGGGTCTGACATGACTGAGCAACCGAACAACAAATTAGTAAAAAATCACTTCTGAAAACACCTTCCTCCCTCCACTCAGCTGCTGTGTTGCTTCTCTAAAACATCACGACACTAATCACATTGTGCTCTAGCAGACTGATTTCCAGAGTTCTCAGAGAGGCTCTCCTGACCTGGAATCACCCGGTGTTCCTGCTGAAATGCAGATTCCTGGATCTGAGTAAGATTCTCCTACAACCCAGGTCCAGCAATTTCATTGGAAACAGGCGTCCCTGGTGATTCTCCCCACACTGAAGTGGGAAACCCACTGACTTCCTATATGATATGTCTACACAACAGGCCTCTTTCCGCTCTACCAGCCCATCTCCTGTGCTTATGACCCCTCTCTGATTGTGTTTCTCTCTTTTATGAGTCTCTGCCTTTGAACATGCCATTACATTTGTCTGGAATACCTTCTTCATCTCTAATTAGTAAACCAAATACAATGCAAGCCTTATCTCCTTCCAGAAGCATCTCCTTTTCCTCTTACCCAGAAGAGATAGCACCCTGTTTTCAATGTCCCTCAACACCAGTGCTAATGTCAATTATTACACTACAATTGGTTGTTTTCATGCTTCTCATACTCATAAGACTTTGCAGGGGAACATAATTCAGATGAAAAGTCTAGGGTCAAACTGCTTTAGGTAGAA